TTTGGGCCATATCTAGATTATTTTTAATCTCCTTCCTATCCCTCTGCATAGCACCCCAACCTCATGCTTCCATACTCTCTTTTTACCTATTTTTTTTTTTTTTGGCAAGAGCTAAGTCAGCCTGTCTTTTAGTAATTTTCACTTTATTCCTACATTTTCTAACCTCCACAACATGGCTTTCTTTGCTGATCAGCCCCTTTTTCCATTCCATATAGACTCTCTGCTTATGCCTAACAACCTTTTTGAGATGGTTATTCATCCAGCCGGGTTTGGAGTCTATCCATACAAGTTTTTTCCCTGCTGTCGCCGGATGCAACTTTCAGATAGTTTTTGTAAAACTGATTTGAAGAAATTGTAAGTCTCCTGTACATTTAAGTCCTTGAGTTCTTCAGTCCAGTTGACTTATTTAACTAATTCCCTTAAATTCCCAAAGGCTTCTCTTTAGAAATCAAAAACCACAGTTGATGACATGATTTTGATTATCCTTACATTTAATTTAAACTGAATCAACTCGTGATTACTCAATCCAAGGTCATGTCCTATAAGCAACTCTTCTGTGATATCCTCGCTACTTACTAAAATCAAGTTTAAAATTGCATCACCTCTTGTTGGTTCAGTGACAATTTGATGAAGAAAACCGTCATCTATCACAGCCAAGAATACCTGGGTCCTACTGGTATTAGCAGCATTTATTCTCCAATCTATATCTGGGAAGTTAAAGTCTTCTATTATGACAATTCCCAAAAATATTTCTCTCTCTAATATTAAAGAGATCACTTTCCATAATGGAGAGAGACTGACCCTGGGGATCTATAGTAGGCCCCTAAAACCATCCCAACAGAACCTCCTTTACCATCCTTCCACAAAGTGATTTTGACCCAAACAGATTCTGTTTGGTCCATACTATCGCTTCACATTTCTTTGTAGTGTATTGCTTCGTTGATGTACAACACTACCCCACCCCCTTTGCCTTTATTCCCTTCTCTCCTAAACAGCACATACCCTTCAATACCTGTATTCCTCCAGTAATGAGAGCTATTCCATCTGTAATTACTATAATATCTGATTTGACCTATTGCCCCAGTAGTTCCAGTTCCTCCATTTTATTGCCCAGACTCATTGCATTTGTGTACAAACACTTCAGTTGTTTCACTCAGGCCTCACCCAGTTTTCTACCTTGTAGTGTTCCATTATTCCTTATTGTATCTTCATTTAGTTGATTTTCCTGCTGCTGTGTATTGAAGCCAGGCGTGGAGATTTCACGAGTCTCTCCCAATCTTCTCCCCTCATCTCCTAGTTTAAAGCTCTTCTTTTATCAGTCATGACAGCATGGATCCCAGAAGGATAATACTCCAGGTGTTCAAGCGGAGTCCATCAGTTGAGAAGATTCTTCTTTTTGCGGATGCCTCCCAATGGTCGCTCATCCCCCAAACCTTCCTCATAGCACCAATCCCTGAGCCATCTGTTCATCTTCGTTACCTTGTCATGCCTTTGCCCTCCTTCTCTAGGGACCTGAAGTATTTCACTGAAGATCACCTAAGCTTCCACTTCTTGAAGCATCTCGCCCAGCGCAGTCGTCCTTGATCCATTCCAGCGGGAATCTAGCCAGGCCATTCATCTCCGCATGCAGCACAATCAGTGGCTTTTCCCCTTGCGCCCCCCTCAGGATCTTCTCCAGCCTCACCTCCACATCTCGTATCTTTGATTCTGGCAGACAGCATGCTCTCCCGTTCTCTGGATCTGATCTGGTGAGTATGGAGTCCCCAGTCACATAGACCTGTCTCCTGCTGGTGTTGGTATGAATCTGTTTTATGTTCTCTCTGGCGGTCCCTTGTACATCATCTTCATCTTCATCATCTCTTCCTCTCTTCTGTAGAGATTGGTTTCCCTTCGTTTCTTTCTCGCACCTCATCTTCTATCTGTTTCTCCTCTTCATTTCCCAGTGCTGCAGACCTGTCACTCAATTCAATTTCACCACCACTAACTGGTCTTTTCCTCTACCTTGTCCTCATGGTCATATTCTTTCATGGATCACACTCCTCTCCTGGCAGTCCCCCCTCTAGCTCCTTTTGTTCAGGAAGTGTTCATAAATCTTGAGTTGTCTGTACCACCTCCTCTCTCCTTTCCTGCATTATTCCTTCAAATACCCATCTGAATTCCATCGTCTCCAGCTGCTAATCCTTGAATCTTCTCTGCCATGAACTCTATCAGGTGACATTTCATGCATTAGTAGCTTCCATCAGATATCCTCTCAAGAATGATGTACATCCCGCAGCTTCTGCATCCAACCATCTTCTTTCTGTCCTCTCCTCCTCTGGTCATTTCTAGTGTGTCTTAATAGCTATCATTGTCTTCTTTTCCAAGACCCTATAACTAGAAAAAAAGAAAAACTTCCCAACCAAACTCACTTACAAATTCCCACAGAAACTCTGCTGTTAGCTGTTGGCTGTTCACTACTCCAATGTTCACTAATAACTGGCTTTTAAACCTAGCCAAACTCAGTCAGTTCCACGTGCTCATTAAGGGATACCAGGAAGCTCTGAATCAAACTGAAGATATTGAAAATATTTCTTCTGCGAAAACAAATTAATCTTGCAATGCTATTAACCCTCTTCCAATGCTGTTCATCTGGAGTCTTGAGTCTTTGTTTCACCGTTGATCTTTGACAGGATGGAAAAAGTCACCTAAATTCTAATTATTTTAGTTAAAATTCACCCCAGGACAGAGGAACAAGCACCACTGACATCCCATAAAATGGGATTGAAGAGATGTGCAGATCTTGGGATAGCCTCTGCACTGGGGTGAATTTCATACTCTTTAGACTAGTAGAAACAAACTAACATTCAACTCAATGGCCTTCATCTGAGTGTGTACTTTTTCTTATTACTTGGGAAACCATGAACTAGTGGAGATGTAAGAATTTATCATCATTTTTGGTAAAACAGGTCAAGAATAATGGATCAATGAGATTTTGTCTTATTTTACCTTCTGCTGTGTTAACCAGAATGTACTAAAACTCACTGAAAACAGAACCCCAACAAATATGTATTTAATGACATTTTGCAAAACTCATCCAAATCAAGGAAAACTGAAAGCCCTTTCTAAAGGGCTGCCACTGCAAATCTTTGATGTATTACCCACTTCTGTGCAAGAATCAGTGTCAAACAAAGGGGGTAAAATTCTGACCCCATTCAAGTTAATGGCAAAATTCCCACTGACATCAGTGGCACCAGGATTTTCCCCCATGAATCCTATTAGGAAAAATTCCTCCTGTGACAGTTAATTTACAATCAGGAATATATGTATTACCAGATGAAGATGCATTGATAGAGAACTGCAGTATATGATCAATATATTATGGGATTTTGAAGGTTTGGGGAGGTTTCTTTAGAGGCAATTGAAAGCAGGATGGATGTCAAAACAAATTATTTACCAAGGCAAGGAAAGATTTACAAAATCTTTCCAGTTGTAACTCAAAGTGCTAAATTCCTAAAGTTTAGGAGCAGTGAGACTCTAGAGCAGAGGTGAGGAAACTATGGCCCACAAGCCACATCTGGCCCACGGGACTGTCCTGCCAGTCCCTGAGCTACCAGCCAGGGATGCTAGCCCCCGTCCCCTCCCCCGCAGGCACGCTGCCCCGTGGGCAGCACAGCTTGCACGCGCCCACCTCCCAGGCTTTCCAATAAGTCTGTCCTGCTGCTCTGAGCAGCATGGTAAGGGAGCGGGGCAAGGGGGGTTGGACAAGGGGCAGGCAGTCCCGGAGGGCAGTCAGGGGACAGGGAGTGGTTAGGGGTAGAGGTTCGGGCGGGAGGGCGGTCAGGAAACAGGGAGCAGGGGACATTGGATACGGGGTGGGGTCCCGGGAGGGGGGACAGGGAGCAGGGGGGGTTGGATAGGGGCTGGGGTCCTGGGGGGGCAGTTACGGACAGGGTTCCTGGGAGGGGGCAGTCAGGGGACAAGGAGTGGGGGGGTTGGATGGGTCAGGGGTACCGGGGGGCCTGGCAGGGGTGTGGATAGGGATCGGGGCAGTCAGGGAGCAGGGGGTTTGATAGGGGGTGGGGTCCCCAGGGGGGGTGGTTGGGGCGGGGGGGTCTCGGGAGGGGGCGGTCAGGGGACAAGGAACAGGGTGGGTTGGATGGATCGGGGATTCTTAGGGGGGCAGTCAGGGGGTGGGAAGTGGGAGGGGGCGGATAGGGGGTGGGGGCCAGGCTGTTTGTGGAGGCACAGCCTTCCCCACCCAGCCTTCCATACTGTTTCGCAACCCTGATGTGGCCCTTGGGCCGAAAGGTTTGCCCACCCCTGATCTAGAGAACCCTGTTAAAATGTTTATAGTGGTTGTTGATCTCGTATTCCCTTTAACAATGGCAACTGCCATGAATTGTGTTATGCTGTTGTAATTGTGGAATTCTGTGACTGGCACGTATGTACGGGATAGGAAGCAGGGCATTATCTATCTTTCATTTTTAGTCTACAACTTCTTCCCCTACAACTAGAGCAGGTTAAAATATGCTTTAAAAATCAGTTTAAAAAAATCATACTTTCAAAGTTCTTTTCTGTTTCACATGTTTCAAAATAGACCTGTTTGTTTTGGAAATTTTTCAAAAATTTTGATTAAAAAATGCATATCAAAAGCATTTTTAAAACATTATTGAAAATTTTCATTTACTATAAGCCAATTTTGATAATTATTTAGGTTACAATTTCAGCTAAAACCGGTAACATTTTAATTAAAACATTGCAAAAAAATTCATGAAAACAAAAATAACCTTAAAAGTCAATAATTTTTGAATTTTGTGTCTTAAAAATGGCTTTTTTTCTATCAAAAAAATTTCCATTTGAAAAATTCCAATCAGCTCTACCTATGATATTATGAAAGCATTGTAATGTATTTGACACACAGTACCAGAAATTAAGCTCATGGAATTTTCAGGATAATGCTCAGTTATGGATTTAAAATGTGTACTGTACATTCAATATTCCAGCAGGTGGTGTCCTCTTACCTTCTCTAACTGTTCCATGCACGCATTGTGGACCACAATCTTGCAGGCAGCACACTTCCGTCGAAGAGCCGATTTCTACAACATTTAAGAACAGTGTGGCTGAGAGTGTATGGAATGAGGAGAAATCATTTACAGAAACCAAAACATTTGTCAGAAGCCAGGCAGCTTCTCTTTCCCCCACCTTATCCAACAGGTCTTCTGGATTGTCTTCAAAACCTGATTGAGTGATATGTTGAAAAATGGCTTGAAGCTGAAGAGTCGAGAATAAAGGCATAAACAGGGTAACAAGGTGGAACATGGGACATATGGCATGGGCATGTGGACGGGAAACAGAACTAAAGGCATTTTTAAAATAGTAAATAAAGTTACTGATGACATTTTGAATAAGACTTCCTTATTAGGAACAGTCTGAAATGGAAAAGGGCATAGCTAGCGAAGAGACAAGGAAATATACACACTTTACTGAGAGTTTCAGTAATGACTCAAATCAAACTGGGAAAAAAGTTCCTCCTCTATTGTTCATGTGAAACATTGAATTTGATGGGGGCATCTCTCTGACCAATGCCTTGCAGAAAAATCCTGTGTAATTTATTAGAGAATGATAATCGTCCTGCAGAATTTTGTTAACCAACCTATCAAATGTTATAGCAGGAACATAAATTCTCTATTAAATTCTTTAGGGTGGTTTTACAATTCTGTACAAAAGAAATCATCTTCTATTTATATCTATAGGCTTTTACAGAAATGCCCATAGAATCCTATTAAAGTGAACACTAGGTGTCCATTAAGGACAGAAAGCCTTTACCATAAACTTAATTCTTTCTTGTTCTTGCACATACTTAATCATTCTAATGAGTCTCGCAAAAGACATTTTTACAGAAACGTTTATAATTGAAAGATGGAAAGATTATCAACATAATAAATTAAGGCTGATTTGCTGGAAACTCTGCCATCATTTTTATCATAGTCATTGAGAGCTTGTAATTAATGTTTTCTTTATAATTTTCAATATGTTATTAGCTAGATTCTGGAAGCAACAGCCCTCTCTCTTGTAGCTAACATAACACTAGTAAATTTGCATATTGTCAAATCATGATTTTTCTTTGTAAGTCTCTCAATTTTTGGTGTTTTTCTTAAAACGCCAGCTGATAGAATTCTGATATAGCATAAGAATCTTAGCTTTTGAGTTCGTAAAAAGTAAGTTTCTTAGTCCTCATGATTGCAGGGAAAAGCTTGAAAACATGGAACAAGCATACCCTAACAGCTTAAAGACCAGAAGAAAAATAAAAAGAACCAAACGCTTTTTTTAAAAAAAAGCATCATGATTTGTAAACCAATCTCATTACTTTGGGCACTGGACTCATGATTTTTTTAATATTGGGGCTTGCAATACTGATTCCAAGCATTAGTAAGGAAAGACTGGTGGATAAATCAGACTTTGAGTCTTTTCCATCTCATGTACTATTTATCATAAAGTGTCAGCTCCAAAGGGTGAGAGTTCATATCCTGCTAAAGCCTTACATTTATTAAAATTTCTATGCATTTTTCCATAAATGCAATTATAGATTAATTATTTCATACAACTTTTCCATTAAAACAATAAATCTGATCTAAAAATATTTTATATGTAAAAAGCCAAGTAATAGAAAGGCCAGTGCAGCCATAGAAAGATGTAGGAACTCTAAAAAGATAGAAATTGGAAAACCATTAGCCATTTAATTGATCAAGATAAGCAAAACATAATTAGAGTTAACTAGATTCTCCCCACCTACAGTTCACATAACCACGCCAGAAAGCAGCACAAGTGCTACTTTGTGTTACACTACTAGATTCTCCGCAACCAACAAAACCTTAAAACAGAAAAGAATTTCAGTCAAGAAAAGGCCAGGCAATTAAAAATTGCCTGTTCTCACATATGACTCTACATCTGTGGGCCTGTTGGCTAGAAAAGCCTTCAATCAACTAAGATTCCCACCAGCCAGAGGTGGACTAGGGTTTGGGGGGAGCCCTAGACCAGAGCAAGTGGGGGTCCCTCCCCACCCCTTCCACCTGCAGTCTCCCCCCTTCTCACCCCTGGTGCTCCTTCTGGGGGTCGGGGTAGGGGAGCTCGCCTCGCTCCTTCCACCCGGCACTCATGCCCGGGAGCAAGGTCAGGGTAGGGGGGCTTGCCCCGCTCCGCCCACATTGCACTCTTGACAGTGGGGAGCAGGGTCGAGGCATAGGGGCTCCCAGCAGGAGCATCGGGCAGAGCGGGGCAAGCCTCCACACTCCGACCCCACTCCCTGGCAGAAGCACCAGATGGGTGGGTGGAGTAGGTTGGGGCATGGGGTTGCCCATTTTTCCAGGGGCCCCCAATTGGCCAGGGCCCCTGGGCATGGGCCCAGTTGGCCCAGTGGCTAATCCGCCACTGTCACCAGCATTTCCAAAATGGTCCTGATTCACCACAGTTACTGCAGTTTTATTCCAGGGTAACAGCACTGATTTCAGTGGAGATGTCCCCTCATCAAACTGTAATAACATAGTAGTGAATTAGGCACAGCATACTTTTAAGGGTCTATACTATTACTACAGGCAAATTTCTCAGGGGTCTTAAGCTCAGGTCTTATTCAGGCAAACTTCTACTGACATCACTGGGAGTTTGCCCAGATTAGGACTCAGTAAACACTTCATATTTCATACTATTAGTAGAAATAGTACAATTTTTGAGAGGTTTTTAAAATTTTGTTTAAATAAAGAATTTGACCACTAGTTTTGTTTCTTTCTTTCTATCTGCTGTAGCAAGGCACCACCTGTCACACTAGGAAATGCAAGTTCCCAAGCTTCTGAAGTAGTCTCTTCAACCAAAACTGGATTGATTGCCCTACAAACAGATAAGAAAATCTGAAACTGTTATACTCACTGCAAATTTGACTTGGCAACTGTCCTCTCCTAGGTAACACAGGTCCCCAGAGACATTGGTCTCGAGCCACAGATGCTCTCCATTCACTGCGTTCTCCTGAGAAGAGATGATTGTTAAATTGGCTGAGGTGAGTACAGTATGTTAAAGAATTTGAACGCTAGCTTAAATTAAAAACGATGATGATTAACTCATCATTGCTTGTGATCTAAGCCACAAGTTTAGTGGTCTTAACCTAGAACCAGTCAGATACTTTTCCACAACACAAAACCATCATACCATGTGTCATAATTGGCCATCCCTCTCACAAGAAGCCTGTGGTAGAATGATAGGGGTGCCGTAGGTCAGGACCAATGTTCATTGACAGAGCTGTTTGTAGGAACTTTGCCTAGCACCTGCCCACACTATGCCTAGGTTAAACAGTACCATCAGTTCCTCACTTTCATCAGTATGAAATTTACCACTATATTTAAAATAAAAATTAACATAAAAGAAGCTAAAGACAATGTTATTGATTTTATTAATTGCAGACTAGAGAACCAGCCCAGGAAGTGCCAACTATCATATTCATTGTAACTGCAGGGGTATTTAGATAGGAGCTCTGAACAAATCATTTCTACCTGAGTACATACCACCACTCTCATGAAAAATGCCATTGGAATGTTAATGGCCAGAAATAAAGATCCTGGGTTTACATCTGAAGAATGCCACCTCCTGCTGGCTATAGAAAGATTCCAGTTTCCATCCTAATGTGATACTAGCTTAATAGCAAAAATAAAATGCTGTACGTGCAATATTTGAGCAAACTGAATAAGCAAGAATCTTGCTCTACTGGAATTAAAGCACAATGGAAAATGCTTTGCCAGTCTCTGACATTTGAGTCCCACACTGCAGAAGTCACAAATGATGTTGCTTTCCAACCAGATGGTGTCCGACAACAGGATGCTTCCAGCAATTCAGGTCAAAATCCTTTATTTTAAATAGCACTGACAGTTTTCAATACGATGAGATAAAAGTTACTTCTCTCTCACATAAGTATATTTCAGGTAAGGCTTTTTAATAGGAAAAGGTAGCAGGCATAGTTTCTTTGAGTTCTGCAATAGAAATGCATTCACAACAACTAGATCAATATAATTAGCATTTAAAAACTGCAAGTAGAAAATTGGTATCTATCTGAACCATGGTGCCAATTTACAAGAAGTCATCAGGTCACAATCCAGAAAAGGCAGCGTGGGAAAGGAAAAATAAGGTATTTTTACAGTGACAGATCTGCATGTCCATATTTCGCTGCATAAACCAGAAATAAGCAGCCTAAGAGTGACCAAAAAACTCCTCCCAATTATATCAGACTTGGTACTGTCCCTAATAGGGGACTGAATTAGGACTCAGGTTCTATTCTTGACTCTGCCACTGACCTGCTGTCTGACCTTGGGCAAGTCACTTCCCCTCCCTGTGCCTCTGTTTCCCCTCCCACCTTTTGTCTGTCTCATCTTTGGGGCTTGAATTATGTGCTTGTACAGTGCCTAGCACAACAGGGCCCCAACCTTAGTTAAGGCATCTAAGTGCTATAGTGCAAATACGAATAATAAAGATGACTTTTCAAGACTTGAGCTCTCTTAGGAACTAATCATGCTTTCCTTACTCATATGAGCAATTTTACTGAATTCATCTAATTTTTCTCCAAATTCAGCCTCACAGTAAAGCTGTAGTCTACAGGAAACGTGGTAGCCAGAACTGTCGAACAGGTTTTTATAGTACATCAGGGGAAAACAGTCATTTGAAAGCCCAGTCACCATCATCCAATGCCTGAAATTCTAATTTCCTGCCCAGTTTATCGGGTGCTAAATGGAATAGTGGGACAAAGAAGCAGATGGGTCTTCCACCGTCCTAAGTTGTTTGAGTAGGACACAAGACAATGTTCAAGTAGGACACCTTCCCTGTTAAAATAACCAGTGGTTAACAACATATAATGGCTCATAATACTACCTAGTGCTTAATCATGTAGATTATAAAGGAAGTCCGTTTGGAACAATCAGTTTGGGAAGCTAAGCAAAAAAGCACACAGATCCTGAGTCCTGATTTCTAATCAGGAATCAAAATTCCCTAAAAAGAAACAGAACAGTTTAAAAGTCCCTCTATTCACGTCATGTTTCTCCACGACTTTCCATTCAAGGTTTCTAAAGATAAGGTGGCCTATTTTCATAACCCAGTTTAGACCAAATTAGATTTTGTTCTCTGTTGTTCCTGAATGGATCATATATTCATAGGGCCTGGTTTTCTATCAGAAGTTTGAATAAAACAAATCTGTACTCTGCTACCCTTTTGGGCCTGTGTTACGCAGGTCAGCCGAGATGATCACTGTGGCACCTTCTGGCCTTAACATCTATGGGCCAGATTCTCTGTGACCCTGCACCTAGTAATTTACACCAGTACAAAAAAAGGACATAAAATTTTACCATTCCCATCTGGTAGCATTTACACCCATTTTGCACTCACTTCCCTCTGGTGTAAATTACTCCAGGATAGAGCTGGTCAAAACTTGGAATTTCCATTCTGAGGAAAATTCTGACATTTGAATATTTCCTTCAGTCACAAATCAAAATGAAATAAAATGTCATGGTGGAAATATTGTATCACCTTATCAAAAGGCTTTGGCCCAAAAAGGTTGAAGCACTTTGGCTTCATAGTTTCTGCTTTTATATTTTATTACAATTTATGATGGAGACCATTATACAATAGCATAAAAGTTGAAACTATAGGTGCTTTGACCTTATTGAAAATATTGATATTTTTCATCAAAAAGTTTGAGGACTTTGATACAGCCCCACAAAACATTTCAATGCCATCAATATTTCTCGATGGAAAAATACTCCATCAGAAAATATTCAACCAGTCTTACTCCACAAGGTGGGGGACAACAGAAAATCAGACCCAAAGATTTTAAGATCAGATGGTGCTGCTAAGGCATCTAGTCTGACATGCTGCATAACATGGGACCTAAAGGGTGGCAGAGTCCAAATAATTATATTTATATTTCTGATGCATAGATAGTTTTCTGCTGGAGACTGAGTTGGGCGGAGTTTTAATTAATACTTTCGCTGGTTAAATTGTTTTGCACTTGCTGGTGGAATTGTTCATGGGCAGAGATTTCCTGTGTATCAGGAAAATAATGGAATAAGGCAAGTACAAATCCCACCTACAATTTGGGAAAAGCCAGAAACTCCTCCTGTTCAATATTTTGCAGTATAAGAGAAAACAAAATACAAAAAAAGTTACAAGACAGTCTTTTTAACACTATCATGAATGTAACTTGTAGATGCTATGATTGCACTTATAAATTGAGACACATCTCCTCCCTGAAGCAGAAGCAGCTGCCGTTATGTGTTCAGACCCAGGCTGCTATAGAGGTGACACAAACACTGTGCTCTCTCAGATGGAGACTTTCCATTTGTTTGTTTTATATTGTCAGTAACAAAACAAGACCAAAGTTCTTTTTGGCATACGATTTCTCTTTGGATATGGGAAAACAAAACACACACTGCCCCAATTTGAGGAGAAATTAATATCCCCAGAATGGAATTTAGGGGCAATTGTAATTACTTGTGTTTGACCACAACTAGCTGTGCATATTTCTCAGCTTGTTAAATTTGGTTTCTCCTTTAAGAAGTGCCCCAGCCTAGTTCAAAGCCAACCAGATTTAGTGAAGCCCTTTGGTCCCCTCATATGTGACAGCTCTGCAAGCTGCAGTCAGAGTGGTTTGAAACACAATGCAAACTAACCTGGATAATTTAATTTAGAGTGACAAGCAGCCATGGATATTCAGCCAGTCAGATCACCCAGTTGGCTGAACATTCTAATTTCAAATGAGATATAGCATGACTTGTAGCAGAAAGGAAGGATCTTTCCATAATTCCTGTCATGGAGAGAGCTTTTCAAAATTATATATGAAAGGATTTTTAAATAAACCATTTAAAAGAGGGAAAACTTTCAAACATGCCAGGCTAAGATATTAATCCAATTACCACATCCACCTGTAGTGACAGCAAGCAATAAACATACAGTTATGGTCAGTGAATAATACGTGTTGCTCTAAATTATATAACAACAATTCTGTACTATTACCACCTTTAAGTTACTGATACATACTCTCAACCCTAATTCCAGTTTAATGCCATTTATTTGGGAATTTTCTTGTTTGTTTGTTTTTAGTATTTAAAAATACATTCATACTAAACAAGAAGCCCAAAGAGATGAAACCATGTGATATTTCTAATAATTTGAAGATATGCAATATCAACTTTATACCACTCTCTCTTTTAAATTTTAACTCTTAGGGTCAGATTCACTGGTAGGCTGCTTCACCCCATTCTGGAACAAAGCTCCCACTGCACATGAGCTAATTTCCCCCTCTTTTCTGTCTCCTACATCTGTCTGCATACACGCACGTGCCCCTCTACCCCTCCTTTCCAATCCCCTGTACACATACACATCAATTTACCTTCCTACTCCCCCAGTTGAGTATATCTAGTGCAATAGGTAGTTTTTTAAATACATTTTCAAAATAGCCAATTTTGCCATTATTCTTAATAACAAAGTTTATGTTGGCAGAAGCTGCATAATAACCTTCTTCTAAAGAGAGGAATGAGCTCAAGCTGCCCACAACTAAGCTGGTGATTCCCTGTGCTGTCAGATATGCCATTATCTTAGTTGAGGGCAGCTTGGCTTCACTCCTGTTGTGAACAATGGAAGACAATAGCCATTTTGAAAGGGAGCACTTTCCTGAAGGGCAGCTGTAGTCTGAGTGCCCCTGAAGACAATGGAAGGTAGAACCCATTTTGAAAGAGTCCAGTCCTTCATGGAATTCTCTAGGAAGAACATTATGTGTCACAGAATCATAGACATGCAGAGCTGGAACGGACCTCAAGAGGTCATCAAATCCAGTGCCCCCATGCTGAGATGGGACCCAGTAAACCTTGACCATCGCTGACAGGTATTTCTCCAACCTGTTCTTCAACCCTCCAATAATGGAGATTCCACAACCTCCCTTGGAAACCTATTCCAGAACTTAAATACCCTTATACTTAGAAAGCTTTTCCTAA